CCTCCTTACCTTTAACTCTTCATGCGCACACTTTAGAATATCGTGTGTTTCAAGTAAATGTTTATAATCTTCCACAAGCTGCTCATTTGCACTGGCCAAAGTCTGAACAGTCGCCTCCATGTCTTCTTTGTCTGAATCTGACTTTTCTCCTGGTGAATCTGTGCAGATGAAAAGAACATTTTATTTAAAATCTTTACTCGATAAATGAAAGAATTTCAACTGGTAGTTTTTAATATGAAATTGCAAGTTCAATAATAAACAATATTTATAAACGTCACGAGTCCTTCAGGACTTGTTACTGTAATACTTTGCCATCTCCATAAAAAAGAGCCTCAAACAGCCATGTTCTTCTCTATTGTCTGGTTGATGTAGCAAGTAATTCAAGTTGCTACAAATACATTAAAAGCATACTTGTCAAAACCTACAACATGACTCCACTTCAGATACACGATACTAGTCCTATATAAAATATGGCTTATTTTTCCCCCTTATTTTTAACGGCTTTGAAGGCCTAAAGGCTAAGTGGTATACACGCAAACACTCAGCGGGCTCCCAGAAAATCTGGACACCATGGATAGTCTAGAATTGACAGAACCAGATACAGCATTTGACTTATTCATTTAATCCCAGGGATGGAAACTGATCAGTCAAATTTTACTGAAAGTCAGAGAGAGAGTGAGAGAAAGAGACAGGACCAGAAAGAATGACACGACAGAGAGAGAGAGAGAGAGAGAGAGAAAGAGAGAGAAGGGGTCGGAGGAGGGGGGTTGATAAAGACAGACAGGGGAAAGTGGGAGATAGAGAAAGAAAAGAGACAGGTACAGAAAGAGAAAGTAGACAGAAAGAAAGAAAGAGTGAGAGAGAAGCACTTTCTGAGAAGAGAAAGGAGACAGGACATCAGGTCCCACTTACACTAGAAAATGACGGAGAAAATCAAAATTACGGATTTCCTTAAATTTACTGAAAATTTTAATTCCTGTAATCTAGAACAAGATGTAGATCTAGATCTAGATCTAGATTTCTAGTATGAAGTTTACCTTTAAGAAGTTTTTTGTCAACTTGTGTGCAAGCGTCAATTTTGCCCATGTCGTCTTGAAGGCTTATTTGACTCAATCTTTTATTTGTAGAAGCCAGTTCAGCTCTTAGCATATTCACCTCCTGATTTGCTGCCTGTAACGAAAATCAAGCATTAAAATAAAATCATCAATATATGCATCTCACTGATCACCTTCGAATTGTGTCAACAAATTTAATGGTCCTGTTCATTGCTGTCACTTAAAGTCCTAACCGGTCTCTAAATTCATGTCTCCGTTCCTTCCAAACTTTGACTTTGATCCATTGCAGTCTATAGCTGTTAAAAAATGAGAGCTCTCATTATTATCGTTGCCTCGTTCACTTGTTAGTTCGTTCTTTATTATTAGCGGTAGTAATATTATTACATAATAATATACTATTTTATTTATTTTCCAAAATTCTACTTTCCACCAAAAAAAACGGGCCTCTCAGGTAGTGAGAAGTTTGGTCCACCGAAATAGCTTGACGACCTCTATTTTTATGGTAGGCTTTGGTTGATTGGTATCAGTTCCTGGGTTTTCGCCACGCCAGGAAGAAATTTATCGATGTATACAGTTTGGTCATAATTGAAAAAAAAGTCTAAAGGACTTCACCTTGCTTCTTTTTCATTGTGGTTACTGTCATCCAACTCGCGACCACCCTGACTCTTCCTCCCATCCTCCACGTTACTTTCATAATAATCGTATACCGGTATCAAATCTAAAAATACAAGAACACACCATGCACACATAGACGTGCGGTAACTCATAAACTCTCTCACAAAGCATTAATTTACGCCCCCCACCCTCCTCCTAGATTAATACCTCATCCAATTCATAGACAGACTTATAAACGTGAGAGAGAAAGAAAGAGATACACACAAACGGACACACACACAC